AGGTTAGGGATTCTGAGTTAATGGAAACATTTTTGTTGTTATTTTTGTCAACAGTAAAACTGCAGTAAGCGAAGGATATTTAAAAGATTATTAAATTCGACATTTATTATTTATGTGCATAATACAATTATTATGCAATTATCTATATATTTAAAAGTCGTGCCAAAACAAAATGTCTTCCATAGCTAAGTTCGTTATTAATACCAACCTGTACCCAACTTCAACTGTCAACTTCTGCCGGATACTTCAGTTCATTCTGTAACGAAATCATTCTGACAGCTACAAAGAAGAAACGGTTCTTGCACATTTATTGTATTTTATTTGGTTTTAATAATAGTCTAGTGTTTGCTTTTCAAGTTTTAAATATTAAATCGTTTGATTGTTAAAAAATCAGTGTTTGTGAGTGATTTGTGCAAAAATGTGAAGACGAGGCTCGGAAAGGATTTGTACACATTTTGCAGGTTAGTAGATAGCTTATAGTTCTTATTTGTCATATACCATGTGTACAACATACATATTACATTGCATGTAATATTTGAATTGTTTATGTAATATGTATTATTATAACTTGTATATGCATATGTACTATTTAACAATTAAGTTATAAACTAAATTTTCTTATAATGTGAAATCATCTGGTGCGTAAAAATAACGATCGAAAATAGAGTATCATTCTAAATCTCATTTATAAAATCTGTTGTATCTTTTAAACTACTTGTCCGAATCTTTTAAACTACTTTTTAAATGAAATATTTGACAAAATTATACAAAATTAATGTATAAACAATGTTGTCTAATATTATATAACTCTACAGGAACTCTGTCTACTTTAAAATTACGTTTGAAACTAGATTATTATTCTGAGCGCTTCGAATTTATTAGATCTATATGCGTTTATCTATAAAATTTGTTGTGTCTTTTAATCCACTTGTCCGATTTAAATGAAATATTTTACAAAATTATAGAAAATTAAATTATATACAACATTTTCTAAGATTGTAAAACCCCGAAACAACTCGGTGTACTTAAAAATGTCAATTGAAAATAGTCTACTCGCAATTACGTAATTTTAACTTTAGTACATCAAGTTTATTGCATCTGTGCATATATTTATAAAAAAAATTGTAACTTTTAAATGACTCGTTTGATTTAAGTCAAATATTTGACAGAAATGTGTAAAATTAATGTATAAACAATGTTGTCTAATATTATATAACTCTAAAGCAACTCCGTATACTTTAAAATTACTATTGAAAATATATTGTTATTCTGTGCGCGTTCAATTTATTACATCTATGCGTTTGTCTATAAAATATGCTGTATCTTTTAAAATACTTGTCCGATTTAAACGAAATATTTAACAAAATTATACAGAATTAATTTATAAATAATGTTGTCTAATATTGTAAAACTCTACAGCAACTTGGTATACTTTAAAATTACGATTGAAAATATATTGTTACTCTGAGTGCGTTGAATTTATTACATCTATGCGTTTATCTATAAAATCTGTTGTATATTTTTTAAAATACTTGTCCGATTTAAATGAAATATTTGATAAATGTATACAGAATTAAATTATAAACAACATTTTCTGTTATCATAATCCACTCAGCAACTCTGTTTACTTTAAAATTGCAATTGAATTGACCCGAATTGTTATTGTACCGCGTTGAGATTAGTGATGTGCGACTTGATTTTTTTTTTTGATTCCAATAATTCGAATAAAACAAACTTGTTTCGAACTAGAATCAGAACCTAGAATGGACAAATATAATATAAGCTAAGATAGGAATTCAATAATATTCAATTAAATTATTATCAAATAAAATATATTACAAAAATTACTAAAAATGCTTTAAATTTCATAATGTTTCTAAATTACACAATATTCAGAAAGTCCTGGGTCGATTGAAAGCGCGTTTATAATATTTATTAACAAAAGATCGAATTTAGACGGAGAGCTGAAAGTAAAATCGTTCGCTTAATATGACAAGTCAAATAAAAAATCTCTAAGTAGCACGTGGGAGGAAAATTTAATACATTTTGTAAGTTATGGCGCCTATTTATATATCATTTAATTAAAAAAAATCCAATATTTTTATAAAAAATCGAAAAATTTTAGTATATTTTCTAGGTACTAAAAATACTTAAAAAGAATAAATTTAATTTTTAATGTCACACATAACATGCGAAAGAACACTACTGACTAGCAAACTGAAGAAGATTTTACTAAAATATTACACTTTCCAGCAGACAAAAAGACGAGCAACCAATTCTTGAAAAAGTAAGATATTACGAAAGACTTTACTGACGAGCAAACTAATTTTATCTATTTTATAATTTGCACTGACGAGCGAACTATTTTTTATCAATTTGGTATAATAATCTAGTAAAATATTGACTGATAAAAAGACCCTACTGACGACCAAATTAATTTTATCATAATCTAGTAAAATTTTATAATTTGTAATTGATAAAAGGACTCTACTGACGAGCAAACTGATCTTCAACGACTTGTATAAAAAATATAATAAAATATTACACTCTCTGACTGATAAAAAGACTCTACTGACGATCAAATTGATTTTATCAGAATCTAATAAATTATTATATCTAATTAATAAAAGGACTCTACTGACGACCAAACGAATGTTGTCAAAATCTAGTAAAATCTTATTTGTAATCAATAAAAGGCTTATCTTATACCTTTGGACATTTAAATATTGCAGTATATTTTTTTTAAATAAATACACATTCTGTTCGTTTGTATTTATAACATTTTATTATATATTGTTAAAATTATAATATACATATACAAATACATTGCATTAATACCTAATGACTAAGTCGTTGGCTTGTATTAAATGCAAATGAGATATGGATTTATTTATTTATACCCGTTGATTTTAGTAATTTATATTAAATATATATATATATATATATATATATATATATATATATATATATATATAGAAATATATACAGATAAACAGAACATCAACAAGCCATCAAGATGTTTCTGTTTTAACAAATAAGGATTATAAAACTCGAACGAAATCTAAACAATTAGGGTGGGCCTTAATATGGATATTTTCGAGAATTTTTTTGTTCCCAAGTGCTCAAATGCTTCCAAAGTAATTAAAAAAAAATCTTTAAAAAGTTTAGCTCTTAATATTAACATTTAGATAGTCCGCAATTCAATTAAAAGTTTCGTATATTTATTATTAAGTAAATTTTTGCGCCATCTGTGATAGCAGACTTATAATTTTGATGGCAATTTATTACTGACAATTTGAGTGTAAAAATCACGAATTAAATAAATATTTTGCTGCAAAAATAATTTTGATGCCATGATGAATAAATATTTCCTAAAACAATCCACATGGATTTAATTAGAGGTTAAGTGATTTATTAATATTTTTAAGTGTCATGATATTTGAGTTCACAAAGGATATCACAGATGGCGCAATAATTTACTTAATGACATATGTTAATAATGCATATAGGAAACTTTTAATTGAATTGCGGACTATCTAAATGTTAATATCAAGAGCTAAAACTTTTAGAGAATTTTTTTAAATTAATTTGGAAGCATTTGAGCCCCTGGGAGCAAATAAATTCGAAAATATCCATATTAAGGACTAATAATTAAAATTATTTATTATTTATATATTAATACGTTTAGTCTTTGGATGTCTTTACATGGCAAGTAGATTGGCACAACTCAAAAACTAATTTTTTTCACTAATATGTTTTTTATTATTTTTCTTAATTATCAAATAAAAATTTATTAATATTTATCAAATAAAATTTACATAAAAATATTTAAAATCAGTTTTAAGTTTCAAGTTGCATCATTCTTTTTGCCTTGGATAAATTTAATTATATATTTATTTATATATATATATTTATCAGGGATGTGCAAAAATTTTGCAAACTTTGATTATTTTTTTAAAATTATTTCAATACTTAAATCAGACGTATTTACGCTTCTTTAATTCTGTTTTAATATATAGAAAAAATATTAATAATCATAATCGTATAGGCAACATCAGATTTTAGTTTAAAATTAAATTAATCATTAACTTTTTTTACATATACTCAAATAATATTTTACAAAAAGTAAAATTTATCTTGGACAATTTCTTTTTTTTAACAAATTTATCTACAATTTTCTATTAAAAATTGACATCACTGCTGCATGATGCACTAGATAAACGTAACTTATTAATAAATAATTTTTGCCTAATATAAACTCAAGTTGCAAATAAATTATTTATTAATGAAATACTGGAAAATTTATTCACTATCAATTTTCGAATTTTTGCAAATTGTTAACATCCCTGATGTACATCTATTTATTTATTAACAAATACTTTGTTGCATAAACATTTGTTTTGAACACAACTTTGAAGGCACAACCGTCACGCAGATAATTCTGCGAATTATTTAAACATAAATTAATATTACATGTATATAATACTTTGTAAATAATAACTTGTTAAAGATGAAAAGCTGTTTTAGCTAAATTTGACGTTAAAAATTTATTTATTACTCTCTAAAAATTAATTTCTTGATTAAAATTTGAAACGAATATTTACAAACGCTTGAATAATTATTATTAGAATTATTTAAAATAAACTATGGGACCGATTCTGCCGCATAAGAGAAAAATGTTATGGCAAGGCCATGTTATGAAGAACTTTCCATACTAATATTGACAAGTCATGCGGTTGGTGTGCTATCAGGCGAATTCTGATAGAGAACATAATCTAGAAGCCGCACAAATGTCAAAACAAAAACGATGTTAGATAACAGGGTGTTTCTGACACAGCTTCATAACATACGAGTAACGTTGCAGTTTATGTGTAAAACGCCTGAATGCACAGCAAATACATGGCATTTGGACAGTACGATTCAGTAGCATGATGTATGGAAGTTGGAGCGTAACATGGCCTTGCCATAACATTTGTTTGTTGTGCGGCAGAATGGGCCTGTATTATTTAAAATAAACTATATAAGCATACAGATAAATCTAAAAATATTTTCTAAATACTATGATCGTTGCATTTCCTGTTCTTTGTCACTTTTGACTTGTGTCACGTGACCCTTGACATCCGTCGCATCACTTTTGAAATCTGTCACGTGACCTGTGACATCTGTCGCGTCACTTTTGACATCTATCACGTCACTTTTGACATCTATCACGTGACCTGTGACATCTGTCGCGTCACTTTTGACATCTGTCACGTGGCTTTTGACATCTGTCACGTGACCCGTGACATTTCCCGCGTGACCTGTGACATATGTCGCGTGACCTGTGACGTCTGTCACGTGACCTGTGACATTCGCCGCGTCACTTTTGACACCTGTCACGTGATCTGTGACATTTACCGCGTGACCTTTAACATCTGTCACGTGACCCGTGACATCTGTCGCGTCTCTTTTGACATCTGTCACGTGACCCGTGACATCTGTCGTGTCATTGATGTCACTTTCGGCAGATCTTTTCCCCATGTCGTTTTTTTTCAAAATATTTTTCACGTCCGCCCTGAAGCTGTGCACGTCTATCATCGATTTCGAATACTGGTTCGATATTAATTTCTCCTCGTCGGATGGCAGTTTGTTTTTCGACGTTGCTCCTGATTTTGCTCCTGTCGATGTTATGATATTTTCGGTACTTTTTGATATTTGTTGGAATATGTGATCGGGATGTTGTAAATCGTATTTTTGTTTTAGATTCAGGACGTTTATTTGTACTTCTTTGTGTTTGTCGTGGTCTTGCTTGTCGTCTACCTTGATTGATACCAAACTGGAAGACTGGGGATTGGAAGTTAGATTTTATCATTTGAACACTTGTTTACTTATTAATATTATTATTAATAATTACCCCTCGTTTATAAGGACCAGTAATATCGGCCCTTGAACCCCTATGGCTGTCGTGTTGGCTGGTTCCGCAGCAATTGTTCGCCCTACACCTCTCAGATCCTGGACAACGCATCAGGCAGGCATCTGGTATATAAAATAGATTGTTTTATATAATCTTTCTTTTACGAACTCGCATAAAAAGCTATTATTTAGTAAATTTATTGTGTTGGGGTCACCAACTTAGTTTAAATTGTTTAAAATTAATTACAGATAAGGCCAAGGTCAGTCTGTTCCGCGAGCATTAAATAATTTTTCGAACTGAAGTTAGTTTAAAAGTCGATTCTATTTTGTGCATCAAAGCCATATATATAAATAAAGGTTTATCATAATCAGAATTTGTTTCACAAACCTATTGGTTCTTGTCCATTCTCCGATCCTGATGCAACTTTTTGCGAGGTGCTGAACTCGGGTTGTATCGTCGCCTGTGTTATGCCCTGCTCTGTGAAAAAGTCTGCTATTTCGTTTGTTATCCTACCATAATCCTGAAAATTGAAAAATGCATTATTATTAGTAATAATTAATAGACACACAACACACTTAATTATATATTCACGTTCAGTATGACTAAGAATAGCGCTACATCTATTTTTCATATATCTAATTAATAAGGCTTGGCCGCTCTCAAGATTTTTTTTTATTCCTCGACCATTTTATATTTTATTTTTTATAACACAAACCCCAATTTTGCAAGTCATTTTCAAATCATCAAATCGAACAAATTTCCATTCTACTTTTGCTGTTAATAACTTAACTTTCCATTCTACTTAAAAAAGCTTGAATTTTGCTTTAAAAATAATTTATTTTGATCCAGGGTTGTCCAACCCTAAGACTTTTTTTATATTTTTAACATCTGTTAAGGTAAGTTATAGTAATGGGCCGAAAATCGAAATTGAAAATTTTTGCATTTCTTCTTGTTTTGAAGGTTTCTGAACATTTTACATGAATAATATGGATGTGTGTGTGTTCTGTGTGTCTGCACGGGTCAACCGATTTGAATGGCTCAAAAAACATTCGATTTTTATCAATAGGGAGATGTGCTGATTAGTTTTTGTCAAAGGCAGGTCCAGCCGTTACGGAGATACAGAGCAAAGAGTGCAGAAAATAGAAATCGAGTTTTTGAGAGAACGGAACATCCGATACAAAAAACTTACTGCGTGTGTTGACGAAACTATTGCTTTTGGAAAAAAAAAATCAATTTTTTTTTTAATTTTCAGAAAATTTTTTTTTTGATTATTTAAAATAATTCGGATTTTAATTTAAGTTTTGGCTAAAGTTCCAAAGCACACATATATATTTGAAATAAATAATTTTAACAATTATATAAAATTCAGTTTATATAATTTTTATTAATGATTAGACAATATCCTTTATATTAAATTCGATTGATTGAGTTTTCTTTATTTACTTTTCTGTAAACATATATATAAGTTACAGTATTTGTAATAATATATTTGAAAACGTTTAAAATTTCTCGAATATTTCATTACGGTACGGGAAGTTCCAGCAATTTGCCTTAAGGCACGATGCCATACACCACTAGTTAATACTAAAATTTTTCTAGAAATATTTCTTATGGCTGCACAATATTTGCCGGGTCAGCTAGTATATATATATACATATTGCAAGTATTATTTTTCCGTTGATTTTGTTAATTTGATTGAACAACTTTGTTTATTCGGTATCGATAATTTTGTATCGGATTTCCGACAATGTAATGTATGTAATATGATATTAAGGAAATATGTACTTAACGCGAAAAAAATTTCTACTACTGTACGTGTAACGAGGAAAATTATGTAACTATGCGAAAAAAATCCCAAGCGTTAGAGATTGAAAGTTCAGTTCAGTTCTTACTATAAAAGAAGTATTTATTACAAATATTCAAGAGCAAATTTAGAGAACTATAAAATCAAGAACAAGACCCTTTAAATTTCCTCAGTTCTTCATTTCGTCAATACATATAAAACGTTTTTTGACTCATTCGAATAGGACGCTTGGTTCTCCCAAAAATTGAATTACTGTTTTTGGCACTTTTTGCCGGGTATCTTCGAAACTAATCAGCACGTCTCCTTATCAATAGGAATCGAATGATAAATGAATCACTCAAATCTACTAAATTGTATCCGCACATACAACCATTTTTACTAAGGTATGCCAAAATGTTCAGAAACCTTTGAAACGTAAAGATGAGTAAAAATGACCCTACGGGAAGTTAATAAATTTTATACAATCCATTTTTTTTTTTTTACCTCTGGATTTTGGAAGACGATATGGGCTGTGGAGACTATTTTGTTGGCTGTCAGCTGCCAAATGTGCAATTCGTGCACGTTGACAATATCTGGAAAGGCTTCTAACAAATTCGCCTTTAACGTGTCAATGTCTATACTCGCTGGTATTGTCTGGAGCAGAATTAGGCTAGATTCCTTCACTGGAAATAAAAATATTCATTTAATACAATATAATTTATACTAGTGGTGTATGGCATCGTGCCCTAAGGCAAATTGCTGGAACTTCCCGTACCGTAATGAAATATTCGAGGAATAATAAATAGATTATTGTGAATACTGTAACTTTCATTACTTTTGCTAACTTGTTATATCTGAGAAAATCAAATGTAAATCATAAATCAATTTATCACCAGAAGTTTAACAGTTGTCATTTCATTTCGAATTCAATTTCAAAAAAAAAATAATTACCTAATTTGCACAAAATTGAAAAATCTCCTCCCGTATAGTCACAGTCTAAACGCATTTGCAAATAATTCTGTGCGACATTTTCACCTATACTGTGCTTAGCTTGGCGGCATTTTCACATTTTTCAATAGTTTTTTTTAAACAAAATTGGTAAATTGCTCCAGTACATAAACAGCCTAAACGCACTTGGGTAAACATTTGTATCAGAGCGGCGCTTAGGCTGTGCTTAGCCTGGGTGATTTTTTGAATTTTTAATCCAAAATTACAAAAATATTTGATAGAAAATAAAAAAAGATGTAATAGTTTTTTATCCTCAAAAGCAATTGTTTTGTCAATACAAGTAGAAAGTTTTTTAGATCATACAAATGATTAGTTCACTTAAAAACTGTCATTTTTTGCACATTTAGCTCTGTATCTTCGAAATGGCGTGACCTGCCTTTGCCAAAAACTAATCAGCACATCTCCCAATCATTACAAATTGAATGTTTTTTAGATCATTCAAATCTGATACTCCGTTCTCTCAAAAACTCGATTTGTATTTTCTGCACTCTTTGCTCTTTATCTCCGTAACGGCTGGACCTGCCTTTGCCAAAAACTAATCAGCACATCTCCCTATCAACATGGATCCAATGTTTATTAAACCATTCAAATCGATTAATCAGTGCGCCCAAAAACGTGGAAAAAATGCAGACATACAAAACACACACACACGCATCCATTTAGTTTCTGAGGTATGCCAGTAAAATGTTCAGAAACCTTCAAAACGTCGATAAATGCAAAAATTTTCATTTTCGATTTTCGGCCCATTACAATAACTACCCTACGGGAAGTTAATAAATTATTAACTTCCCGAAGGAGAAGTTTGTTTTCATAAAAAAGTCCGATTCGCTAATTTTATGTTTTCTCGACGTTTCAAGCCATCCTGAATCGAATGAGACCGACATTTGGACTAAAAGTATGTGCGTGTATGTAAACAAGTTTTTTTGCCGTAAATCGGTTAGTTCTTGGTAAAGATTGGCCTTAATAAAGTTTTTTTAAAAAAATTTAGATCATACTAAAATATTACAGCACTGCCACAAGTCATTTAATTTTAAAAATTCGTCAAAGTTTGCAAAAATTAGTATCGTTTTTTTGGTATTGGTCAAAATTAGACCTTTGATCGACGTTTTCTCAAAAAGGCCTGAACCGATTTCAGAAATTTAGAAGCCATTTGATGTATCTCAAAGAGGACTATCGTTTGTCAGTTTTGTGAGACGATCTGCCGAGCCGTTTCTTTGTAATTTGAAAAAAAGTGTTAAACACTCCGTCCACATTTAAGCTCATACTACCGAACCGATTTTAAAAAATCAAAAACTGTTCGAAAGATATTAGTTGGGAATGATACTGATTAGTTTTAGGTGAAAATCTATCGAGCCGTTTTTTTGTAATTAACTGTTAAAAAAAAATTTAAGCCGATTTTTATGGAACTTTTTTTGGCGATATATATCACGGTCTTAGAGAACATACCAAAATATTACTGCATTACGACAAGTCGTTTAATTTTAAAAAATCATCAAAGTTTGAGAAAATGAGTAGCTTTTTTGACGTTTGTTAAAATTAAAATTAGACGATTTACTTGGTATAACGTACTTGGTCTTGATGAACATACTAAACCATTAAACCCGTACGGAAACTGGTTCTATAATAAAAATTATTGATTTTTGAACATTTCTTTTTAGAAAATACTCCGAGTTAACGTGTTTGTTCGTTTTCAATTATGTGCAATAAATCCATTCGGAATACTTTAAATCACTCACAAATTAATTTATTTTTTATTGATTAAGTCGATTATTTACACATTTCGGGAAGTTCATGTAACTTGCCTCAAGCCAAAATAACAATATCAACTAGTTTTATCCACTTACTGTAAGGATAACTTAGCCAGAGCAAACACAGGCAAGAAATAATAGAAATCACCGGATCCACATACTTGGCCACATCTGGGTCAGTCCAGTATACAAACAGGGAACAGATGATGACAAAAACAGAACCTTAAATATAAACACAAATAAACTTTATCATCACATCATCATCATATTTTTTTTTCTATTTTTTTATCCTTACTCATGACGTCTCTGGCGATTTCCCGGCCACCTTGTCTCCTTGGCAAGAAGACGTCTTTAAATTTTCCGCTTTTCGAAACGATGGCTTCGACTTCTCGATCGATTTTTCCAGATGTGTTGTCTTCTCGTTTCGTTTCCTTGTTTTCGTCTTCATCAGATTTTTGTTGATTTTGCTTTTCGGTGGATTTTTTGCCACGTCTGTCGCCGGAGATTGCTCTGTCTAGTACCACATCGCCGGTTGGCGTCATTTGGAGGTAGCTGCCTTGGTGGAAGGTGTAACCTGGGGAAAAGAAATAAATATATGTATATATATATATTTTTTTTTTAACTTCCCGTAGGGTAAGTTATTGTAATGGGCCGAAAATCGGAATTGAAAATTTTTACATTTCTCGACGTTTTGAAGGTTTCTGAACATTTTGGCATATTTCAGAAAAGATGGATGTGTGTGTGTGTGTATTTATGTATGGATACAAATTTCCAGTCACGTTTCCGGGCGAACGGATCAACCGATTTGAATGGTTCAAAAAACATTCGATTCCTATCGATAGGGAAAAGAGCTGATTAGTTTTTGGCAAAGGCAGGTCCAGCCGTTTTGAGTGCAGAAAATAGAAATCTATTTTTTGAGAGAACGGAGTATCTGATTTGAATGATCTAAAAAACGTTCAATTAGTAATGATTGGGAGAAGTGTTTATTAGTTTTTGGCAAAGGCAGGCCCAGCCATTTCGAAGATACGGAGCTAAATATGTAAACAATGGCAGTTTTTGAGAGAACTAAGCGTCCGATTTGAATGATTCAAAGAACTTTCTGCTTGTCTTAACAAAATAATTGATTTCGGAAAAAAAAATTTTGTTTCACTTTTTTTTTTTTTTTTTAATTTTTTGTATATCGAAAATAATTCAGATTTTATTTTTAATTCTGACTATAGTTCTAATATACTTTACAAATAATTTCAACTATGCAATTCAGTTTATATAATTCTTATAAATATTAGACAATGTTACAATATTTATAATAATCTATTTGAAAACATTCAGTATTCCTCGAACATTTCGTTACGGTACGGAAAGTTCCAGCAATTTGCCTTAAGGCACGATGCTACCCACCCCACTAGTTTTTATTTATTTTGCCTCCTTTTCTACAAACTAGCCATTAATAGTTTTTACAAAGTTTTAAATTCTAATATTACTTATAGCTAAAAAAATTTTAAATTTTAATTTTACATAGAACTAAAAAATTGTATATAATTCTATAATATTCAACATTTGAAACTAAATTAAATTTTAATAACTGACTTCTATTTTTTTGAAATCTAGAACATTTCAATATATAATCCTAGCCTTCATTCAGTGGAACTAAAAATGAAATTAAAAACTAAAAACAATTGAATTGGAGTGAAAAGAAGAAATAAAATAGCAAATAGTACTTACAATTAGTTAATCTTAGTGTTAAATTGGAAAATTTTAATGATCCATGGTATCAAGATATGATAATGCACTACACTATGACTATGTATTATGAACATTAAACTTGTAATCACACAATATTTTCACAAAAATACTAATTTAAAAAATCACAATTGGATAGTGTGTTGTTCATAGACAGGTTGAAGATATAATGGAGAAAGGACATTTTAAAAAATATTTTTTACGAAGATTCTACACATCTGTGGAACGAATTGCGAATACTTTGCGCGTCGTTTTTATTATTTTGTAGGAAATTTGGAAATACTATCTAAATAAAAGAGACGCGCAAAGTATTCGCAATTCGTTCCACACAAATTTAATTTCTAATTTTCATAATCGATTCAGAATTGCGGGCTAAAACGTGGATGAAATTTTTTTCGCTTTTTTGCTATTTATAAAGAAACGACTCGGCAGATCGTCGCACAAAAACTGACAAACGGTAGTCCTCGTCGAAATACATCGAATGGCTTTTAAATTTTTGAAATCGGCCCAGCCGTTTTCGAGAAAACGTCGATTTACGGCAAAAAATCTGTTGACATACACACACACACACATACTTTTTCTAAATGTTGGTCTAATTAGATTCAGAATGGCTTGAAACGTCGAGAAAACATAAAATTAGCGAATCGGATTTTTTGATGAAAACATAAACTTCTCCTTCGGGAAATTAACAAGATCTGTTTCTATATTTTTTACTATTGTTAGATAAAGATCAAAAGGACTTGCAAAATAGAAACAATATAAAAGTTTAATGACAAGACAAGACAAATAGCAATAATACATTACTGCCCTTTGTCGCAAATATATTTACATTACCCACCTCCAATTAGCAGATAGCACAACCCATTAACAACCAGTCCAGCTCCTCCTACGCACAGCACTGGTATTGGATGATGCATTGGATCCTAAAACCAAAATAAAAACTCATAAGTTTATTCTTATATATAAAAATGGAGCTCTAGATCAAATGATTCGGTAAAACTCGAAAACAGCTTAACCGATTTGGCCAGTCTTAGTCTTGAAAAATTCGTGCCAATCCAGAGATGGTCGGAAAGGTGAGATATTATTTCAAAATCGCGTAGAAACTTTACATTTTTAATTTGAACATTTTTGTAGAAGCGTTGAATTAAACAATGGACGGTGGCTATTACGTCAAATGTCAAACGTTTTTGACACAGGATGATCAATTACGTTTAATAAGATGTTTTACGTGAATATTATTTAATTATGATTAAATTGTAGTAAGTAGTTTTGTTTGTAGTGTTATTTATATACAAAAACGTTAGTAAACGGGCCGCAAGTGTTACTAGAAACTCAAAATATCAACTTTTTTGAAATGCACTTTTTGGCATATTTTTCTCAAACACGGTGCTCTGAAAGATCTCATTTATTTAATTATATACTCATTGGTCATTATAAAACATTTTCAAGGTTATATTATTTTTTATTCATATTATTTAAATTCAGAACCTAAATTTGGTATCGATCAAATTGACATTTTGTCGAATAACATTTTCCCAGTTATAATTTCCCAGAATTAATCGAAGAATAGATAGTAATATGTGAAGGTCCGGGGTTAAAAAGCTCCACCACCGATGTGTCAAAAAACAGTAAAGTTAAGCATTGTTTAACAACAACATTTGAAAGTAGAGGGTAAAAGATATAACCAGCTATAATCTTGATCCTTATGACCTTGCTATCGGGAGATAAACGGTAATATTTGAAAATCCATAATAAAAGTATTTTCTCCCGTTGGTACTTTTTTAGCATTAGCTGAAAATGTTATAATTATTTTGTAAAATACCTTTAAAATTAAAATAAGACATTAAAGCTGTTTGCCACCTGGCCGTCCCAAGTTACTCCGCCTATAGGGTAAAAAGGTCAAGATAACAAATTGTTGAAAGACAGCAAAAAAGCACATTTCTACAATGATGAAGTAGAAGGCAGTTTTACTGAACGTAGTCAGATAATTGTTCGTTTGAAATGTGTTATTTGTTGTGATATAATTGGTTTGATTTTTATAATATAATAATTTATTTGCTCAAAGTTAAATTGGACCTTTGTGCCTCGCCCTGCTCTACATATATACTTTTTATTAAATTTACTTTTATTCATTTTTCAAAAAGCAGGTCAAAGAAGAAATACTTGATTCATTTTCTATCTTTCCTCGCAGAAATTTCAAAATTTTGTATAAGCTAAGTAGTATTATTTACAATTATAAATAAAATCCTGAATCAAAAAAGAATCTGGAAAACTTGAAACGTAATCAATAAGTCGAAATACCAAAAAAGACTGGGATTGGATTATACCATGTTTTCAATGGAAAGTGTATAAAACTTCCAGACATAATATAGACAAACTAATGGGGTTAATTGTTTTTATAATATCTCATTGTATATAGCATTCAAACAACACATTCTTATACACTTAAAGTATTAATATTTTTGATTCTCTAGAAATTGTTTAGAATATACCTTACTTAGCCAAACAACGTTTGCCGGGTCAGCTAGTTTTATATATATATATATATATATATATATATATATTTGGGCACATTTAAGTCTATATTACCTGATGGTCGATATGAATCAAAGTCTGCACAGCTTCTACCAGCAAAGAAAAACACAAAGACGCCAGAAAGACGCACACCATTGTGGTAACTATTACGTCGACTCGAGCCCAACCGAATGTGTTCTTTAAACTAAAAGATAATAGACAATTGGAAGATATGAGGATAAAACTTTATTTTAAATTGTGTTTATTTTACCTTCGTTCATGTTTTGTCCTTTGCGACGACAAGGCATTGGCTTCGTTTTTCTTGTCACTACTTTTGGCAGAAGTTAAATCTTCACCACTTGATGCAAGGACGACGGGTGTATCGAATCCTGTACCACGACATCGGTCACCATATTCTGATTGGTTGTTCTTGAATGGAAAATAATCACGTTAATTGTAGTTAAATTATTAAAAATATGATTTATGGGCTAAATCTGCCGTAACATAGACTATAAGATAGCGTTATGCTATGTTATGCTTGGTCTCTTGTAGTCAACTCTGTGAAAATGCCTATGTATTTGCTAGTGCGATCAGGCGTATTTTACACATAAACAAGGCAAAGAAGAATGTTATGATAACATAATCTTTGATGATAAAGTTATCATAAATTATTTCTTGCTTTGTTTATATGTAAAATACGCCTGATAGCACCCCAAATAAATAGACATTTTTACAGTTTTTACTACCAAGAGATAAGCATAACAGCGTTGCCATGACAACGATGTGTTATGAGCTCTTTTACGGCAGAATTGCCCTATAAAATTCGATTTTTATAATTGACTAGTGGTGTATGGCATCGTGCCTTAAGGCAAATTGCTGCAACTTCCCGTACCGTAATGAAATATTCGAGATATTTTAAACGTTTTCAAATATATTATTAAAAACACTGTAACTTGCATTATTTTCGCTATCTTGTTATATCTGAGCAAATCAAATGTAAATCATAAATAAATCAATTTATCTCCAGAACATTAACAATGGTCATTTCATTTCGAATTCAATTTCAAAAAAAAAACATTGTTACCTAATTTACACAAAATTGAAAAAGTGCATTTGCAAACAATTCCGTGCGACATTTTTACTTATACTGTGCTTAGCTTGGCGACATTTTCACATTTTTCAATAGTTTTCACGAAATTGGAAAAGTGCTCCCCCGTACATAAACAGTTTAAACGCACTTGGGTAAACATTTGTACCGGAGTGGCGCTTAGACTGTGCTTAGCCTGGGCAATTTTTTGAATTTTTTATCCTAAAAAGCAAGTAGAACGCTTAGTTCACTCAAAAACTGCACTTTTTGCACATTTAGCGCTGTATCTTCGAAATGGCGGGATCTGTCTTTGCCAAAAACTAATCACCTCTTCTCCCAATCATTACAAATTGAATGTTTTTTATATCATTCAAATCCGATACTCCGTTCTCTCAAAAACTCGATTTCTACTTTCTGCACTCTTTGCTTCGTATCTCCGCAACGGCTGGACCTACCTTTGCCAAAAACTAATCAGCACATCTCCCTATCAATTGAGATCGAATGTATTTTAAACCATTTAATTCGGTTGATCCGTGCGTCCGAAAACGTGGACGAAAGAATGCGGACAATACAAAACACACACACACTCATACAAACACACATCCATTTTTTCTGAGTTATGCCAAAATGTTCAGAAACTTTCGAAACGTCGAGAAATCCAAACATTTTCATTTTCGATTTTTGGTGCATTAGAGGATAGTTCTTGAGTGAAATAGAACTTTTTTCAATTATTTTATTCTAGTTTCACACATAAAACCTAACTTCATATATGTGTTACGATAGAGGCATCAGAAGGTTGCACTTATGATAAAATTATTTTGGAGGCTAGAATTTATGCGTTATTGTTACTCATACGGGTATAGACCCGCACTATAGTACTACCATAACATTCCTACTTTATCCAAGAATTGACATCACAAATTTTTGCCAAGACATTGCAAAACCAAAAAAACACAAAATCTTATATATAAAATTCTTCTGCAATGATGTATGTAATTATACTCCGCCTAACCGATTATTCGGATTTTGATAAATCTTTCTAAACTTTGTTAAGGGAGTTTATTAGGATGTATGTGATTATAAAAATATAGTAATATTGTAGAAATAAATGTAAAAAAAATGCAAAAAACGACGTGTCATTGTTTGACGTTGAAAATATTTGAGGCATTGCTTGGCATTGAAAACAAATAAAAACTGTCACCTGCCAAAAATTTCAATTTATTCATGAGCCCAGACAATATTAGTATTGTCTGTCGGGTCATCTAGTATATCTATAAAATTATTATTCACAATCTTTTGTGATTTGTTTGCGCTTTTGACAAAATTCCATAATTGTTTCGCCAAATCGGTCGAAACCAGTTTGCTTCTTAAAAGTCCGTGACAAATTTCAAAACAATTAACATAATTATAATTTATAATTAGTTTAAATACAAAATGGCATTTGTTTATTACATTAAAGCGCGTATTTTTAGATATGTCCAATATTTACACGATATTTTTAGAATGAGAAAGTCTAAAAATGAATCGTGGGTAATATTTTTGTTGAACAAAATTCCAATGTTCAATGTAATTATAAAAGTAATAAAATTTTTAATGATATATAATGATAAATATCTTATATACACAAAGTACTAATGGGATGTCACATATATATTTTTATATATATTCTTATATATAAAATTCTTCTGTACGGGTGTATGATATGATACTTCTCCTAAACGGTTATT